TGCCCGGAGCACCCCGGCCGGGGCTCCCTGTGGCTTCCGTGCCGGTGAGGGGACTCAAACCGGCCTAGGGAAGGTAGCGGGATCAGTGAGACACTGCCGGCACAGCCACATCAACCTTCCCCTGGCAAGATGAGTGGTTTGCTCCAAAGCTCTTCCATATGTAGTCTAAGACAGATACATCCAGAATATCATGACTTTTCTGCCAGTCTTTTTCTGTGCGAAAAGGCAGGATATGCTGTTTAACTACAAGGAAAGGAGTAAAGTGCAGAGCCCTCAAAAGAGCATACACCTGTGGATGTCGAGCTGTCCACTCTTTTTCAGGTGGGAGTCAATTGCATTGTAGTTGGCAGGATTCCTGAGCCAGACACAAAACAACTGGAGAGACCCTTTTTGGAACGGAGGCACCTTCCAGATATTCCTATCTTTCCTGATGCACTTAACACAAAAATGTTCTCCCAGAATATGCCTTTTCCCCTATCACATTACTCTTAGCTTACACAGAGGTTTTGTTTAGATTGCTAAAACAAGCATTTTTGCAGTCTCTGCCTGTTCTTTCAGAATCAGAACTTCCACACATCAATATAGGGGGGCTGACTCTACTGCAGGGGCTCTTTAACTCCCAGCTACTTCAGCAAGAATGCCCAGAGCAACCTAATGCAGACACACATTGAAAAGGTGACATCTCTTAATGGCTCACCCTTTCAAACTCTTCACATGCACTTAAACGATAAGCCAGGTCACTTTCACCATGTATTATTATACTCTGCAGTGCTGAGAATCTTCTGAGTGAAGTGGAAGTGGACTGGTAATAACAGATAGTCCCATTTGTCCTGTGAGTGAGGAGGGTGAAAAAGTTGCTGGAATACCGAGTACAGTGACTGTTTCACGTGTCCACTAATGAATACTTCCATCTGCCACCCTGAAAGAGCAGAGAAGCCTTTCCTTTGCAATAAAAACCTTGTAAAGTGTTGCCTTGTGCATTTGTACTGACTCAGAACTCTGAAGAAGACAGCAATTATTACTGGTTTTAAAGAATAAGGTATTTTATTATGGAAGTTCATCTTCATAACAGTGTGTGCAGAAAATGACTGACAATCACTTAAAACAGAAAAAGGTTCATGAAAACAAAAGGATGACTATTTACACTAACTTACTACCACAAACAATGACATACCTGAAACAGCTGAGGCAGTAAATATTCCTTTCATGTCTTGAGAGATTATTGAACAATAGCTTGACATTGTACTGACACATACCAACAGGGGTTCAAGATGTTGAGATAGCCCTGACCAAGCTGTACACTGCAGGAAGCCAAAAAATGTTGGCTATACACTTATGTGAACTATGTCTCTCTGTTGTTTTAACTCCTGAAATTGATCTCTTACAGGGAACTTTAGGAAAAATGTTTCAGTATGAAAAAAACAAAACCCTCTACAAGACAATGCTTTGATATCTAAAGCAATGATCTTATCCAGGACAATCTCAAATGCTTTCTCTGCTCCCCCTTGCAGTTGCATCTAAACAGAAATCATGGATGAAACCAAGAGTATTGCATACTGCTTTTAAATATTTTAAAATCCTAAACTCAGATCTGTGAATTACTGCATGTATACAAGAGATATTTGCCAATAAGCGTATTTAGACAGTAAAAAAATACCTTAACATTTATACCTAATTTACAAATATTCCAACACAATAGAATTGATGCTGTTGGCTTTATGTAGGAAATGCTAGTTACAGAGGTTGGAAAATGAAGAGCAGTATGTAATAGAGCCCTTGTTAAAAGGTATTCATCAAAACCCAGAGAAATTCTTGTTTGCACCTGTCCCCTATACTACCTATTTCTTTTCCTCTCTCTGCTTCTGCTTCTACTGCGTCTGCTCCTTTCTCTGTGTTCCACTTTACTGCACTTGTCCCCATAGCCTTCTCGACATTTTTTCTTCTCTCTGTGAACATCTGTGCTGGGGCTTCTGGTTTCATTTTTCCTGTGCCGCTCTTCACCAGGGCTTTGACTTGGACTTCTTCTTATGTGCCTTTGCCTGGCACTGCTGTGATTTGAGCATGGGCTTCTCCTGCTCCCTTCATTCATGTTTTGGCTTCTACTATCCTTCTCCTTTCTTTCAGTGTCTCTTGTGTTGGTGCTATGGTATCTGCTTGTGGACTTTCTTTCTCCCTCACAGGAGTTCCATTTGTTGTTCTCTGCAGAACTGTCTCGCTTTAAAAGCTTGTACTTCTCCCTATCTTTGTCCTTGTTACCGTGACTACTGGAGAGATCTTCATAAAGTTTTTCCTTCCTCATTTTTGCCTTTCCTTCTGAATCACTGCTGCTGCTAGCCTCTGAAAACTTGTCTTTTTTTCTTTTCTTAGAATCCATCTTCTTTTTTGCTTCTTTATCTCTGTTGTCAGTCTCACTATCACTGCTGCTTACTGAAGTCTCACTAGAGGATGAGGAAGAGGATCTCATTTTATGTTTCTTGTGTTTACTTTTGCTTTTTTTCTTTTGCTGCTTTTTCTTCTTTCTATCTTTCTTTTTCTTTTTCTTCTCTAGACGATCCAACTTCCTTTTATTGTCAAAATAAAAGAGTGGCACAATCAGACACATTAAGATGTATTAAATTACAAAGTCATTGTCTTTTAAAGTTCACTACTTCTGATGACCTACACAAGTAAATACAATAATTTTCATTAAAAAAACATTGAATTATTTTCCTTTTTCAGCCAAGTTTCATTTTAAAACTTCTAACCTGGCATTACCCATAGTATGTAATTAACAGCTGCTCCCTCAAAACAGGAGTAATATGATTTTTTAATTCTTTAATTTTCAAAAAGATAAGTAACTGTCAATTTGGGCCTTGTAACTAGGAATAAATACATTCAGTAGTGCTTTTTTTCCCCCCTTGTCAGGCTGCTCTGGAGACTTTAGAAAATCATTGCTGCTTTTGTTTGTGCATTTTAAAAAGGTATTTTGAAAGTGAAAAAAATGCAATTAGTATTCACTTTCTATTAATGATGAAAACTGAGATTAAAACATACGTTTTTGAGTCCTTTAGGCAAATAATACAGATATTTCCAGTAACCTCCTTTTTCACAACTAGTACTTACACTTCTCTATCTTTAATGTACAATATTCTACCATGTACATGCATTCACTGCTATTCCACTACTTTAATGTAGTTTTTATTTAGCTTTCTGTATTTATGCTCAAAATATCAGTGAGTGAATAGTGAAACTGCTTCCTGTATATTAAAAAAAAAATGCTTCAGACTAATAAAACCTAAAGGACCCAAATACTTACTAAACTTCAGCTTCTAAAATATAAAGGATTATAAATATTTAAATGTGTTGGGCCAGCAGAAGTTCAAATAAAAATAACATTTTAAATTATTCTAACTACATACACATTCCTTACTTAAAAGGAACATAAAACATGTTGACTATTTTCAGAGAATTATATATTACATATGTGAATACCGTGTGTACCTATCTACTCATGGACCTACTTAGCCATTCACCTTCCCCTCCTCCCACTCCCCACATATCTGACATCTTTCATCCTAAAAGCTTGTTCTATCTGCATGCCTCTATTATATATACTATTATGTATATCTATTAATATAGCCAGTATTTTTGATTTTAAACATTTTGAGGTTATTTCAGGGTAATGTTGCAAATGAAGAGACAAAAAAACCCGTAAGTCACTTGGCACACAACACCAGTTGGATAAAAGCAAAGTGCAGGAACCACATTAACTCAGACCCACAGGGAGCAATGAGCTGCAAACCCTGACACAAGCACAGGGTGCAGCTGGGCCAACCTTGGCCTTGGGGTACAGGATCAGGCTCAGTTCAGCCACAGGGAGGAGATAAACTTTGTCAAGTTGTAAACCAGTGAACAAGATCACAGAATTTTTAATCCCAGAAGAAGATACTGTAAACAACAGAATGCAGAATAATATTTTAAAATAGCAGCACAGCATCTCCAGTGAGCCAATTCGTATTTCAGTATCCCAGTTAAATTGGAAATGAGCCCCAGTCAAAGGCATCAAAACTAGATTAAATAAAACAAGTAGATTAAAAATCATGCTACATGATGCCATTTGTGATCAAGTGTATTTAAACTAAGCTCATTTTCTTCTGTACTGATGGTGCTAAAAGGCACCAAAGAGTTACAGTGGCAATCATGGATGTAGTCAGAAATACTGGTGATACATATCCCCTCCACTAGGTACCAGACATACCTTAGAAGCTTCTGTTTTTGTTTGGTTGACAGTGATTTTAAAAATTCAACTTCTGGATCATCATCTCCTTCACTTGTAACAAACTCCTAGAAAAATGCAGTAAGACATCAGGTTCTTATAGATAAAAATAATATCTTCATTCAGATTTCTGTTTTAAAAGTGGTGCCTCTACATACCTTATTTTTGCACAGACACAAATATTTGTATTACTAAGTCAGCATAAGAGACTGGTTAGAACAGAATACACTATACCAAGTTGAAAAACCCTGACATTCTCTCTCAGAGCTGAGTAGGTGTTATAATGTGGGGGTTATACAACAGAAGTTATTACTAATGTATGAAAAAATCACTGCTAGGGAAAGAAACATTTCTGAAATAGTTAATAAAAATGAGCCAGTTTTGAAGCCCTTGATTCCCCAGGATAAGTCACTCCATTGTTATCATGCTTGGATGAATAGGTAAGACGCTAGTCCTGCTCGAACTCAGAGTAATTTAAGCAAATTACTTTTCTGTCTCGGTTTAGTCATTAGGAAAATGGGTAACACATCTACTTCACTGTAGTGTTATTAGTCTTTAAATGTGCACAAAGTCTTCTAGCAATGCAAAATACTGTAATCATATAATCTACATACAGTAACGCAATCAGCAAAGCAAAACTACTTTGAAGACCCTGAATTCCTCAAATTATGCACATCTGGTACACGACAGTTCTCCACAGTGATGTTTTTCATTTTAGCCACACTCAGAAGACGAAAGAAGAAATAAAGATTAAAAGCTCTTACAAAGAAATGCCAGAACACCTAACATAAAGCAAACATACTGATATCAACATGATTCATTTAACAGTGCCCATATGGTACATTTTTTGGGGTACATAGCTTTTTTAAAGGCAAAGGTACATCCATCTGTGGAGACACAATGAACTGTTGATTTACTGAAGATTTCAAGACCAGTTTATAGTCATCCCCTCTTTACAAGTGGTTTGACTATCCTGCCATATAAACACAGGTTACTTCAAGGAGTGTATATTAATCTTTCATTTCATACTTTTATTAAAGCACTTCAATTAGTAATATACTTTGATCTGTCTAAGTAAAAGCAATTGAACCATTTTCACTCCCAGAAATAAAAACTGGAACAATAGTGAATCAAGTAAAAAAACCCCTTCAGATATAGCATTCCTGGCAGTAATTATTTGTGCGTACTGCCTCAAACTTCATCCAAAGGGTAGCACTGCATTACAAGTATGCAGCAGAAGCCCTAACCACCCCTTTATGAAAAATTCAATTTCTAGTCACCCAGAAGAGGGATTTAATTTATCATATGTGGTTTTAAAAGAAGTAATTTATGATTCACCATTCTGTATGAAACAAAGCTGGAAAACAAAGTTTTTTGACATTTTTCTACTAGTATAGCTATTCAGCTTTCCTATGGATATGCATATTTGAAAACATTAAGTAACAATTCACAAGCAATCACATTTAGATTTACAGACATTTTCAGCTTACTGGTAAAAAGGTATTACCTGTGATGGATCATTTGCGGTCAAGTTTCTCCCCAGTACATTTTGTTTCAGTGCAAACCCACTGTTTCTCATCTCCGCTATTAGCTCCGAGGGGTGCATTGATGGCCCTGTTCACAAAAATCACAGTTTGAATATATCATTTATATCTCTCTACCTTTTTTGGACTCCACAGTGGGAATTCAGTTGAAGCTTTGTTAAGTAAAATCAC